CCTATAGCATGTATATATATTTATATATATATCTTTGTGTATATTAGCTGTTTTATATCGGGGAGAACGTATGACATTTGTTGCGTTGGGACTGGCTTACTTCACTCAGCATGATGGTTTCCAGTTGAGACCATTTTGCTGCAAAAGGCAAGATTTCATTCTTTATGGCTGAGTAGTATTCCACTGAGTAGACATACCACAGTTTCCTTATCCTTTCCTCTGTTTATAGGCATCTGCATTGAATCCATGTCTGCACTATTACAAATTGTGTTGCTAGAAATATAGGATGGCAGATTGCTTTCCCAAATGTGAATTTTAATTCCTTTAGATATATTCCCAGGAGTGGGATGGCCAGGTCATTTGGCAGGTCAATTCTCTGTTATCTGAGCACTTTCCATACGAATTTCCAAAATGATTGTACTAATGTACATTCCCACCAACAGTGGATCAGGGCACCTTTTTCGCCTACAACCTCGCCAACAATTGTTGTTTGCTGATTTCTATAGGTGGAACATTTTTGCTGGAGTTAGGTGGTACCTCATTGTGGTTTTTATTTGCATTCCCTAATAGCTAGGAAACATGAACATTTTTTCATGTGGGTATTAGCCTTTTGAATTTCATCGTTTGGGAAATATTTGACAGGGTTATTTGTTTTTCTATTGTTGAATTTCTGGAGCATTTTGTAGAAATTGGATATTAGTCCCCTGAATGTTGTATAGAGTATGAAGATTTTCTCCTATTCTGTGATGGGCTCCTTACTTTATTGATCATTTCACTTGAGGTAGAGAAGCTTCTTAATTTGATGTAGTCCTACAAGTTTATTTTGGTTTTAATAGCCTGTGCTTTTGGTGTCTTTTCAAAGAAGTCTTTGCCTATACCTATGTCGCATAGAGTTCCCTTCTAGAAATTTGATGGTCTCTGGGTACAGATTTGGATCTTTGATCCATTTAGAGCTGGTTATTGTAAAAGGTGAAAGGTAGGGCAGAGTCCCATGGCTCATTTGGCCAATCGTCCCCTTACAAGTGCTGGGATCCCATATGGGGTTTGTATCCTGGCTGCTCTACTTCCAATCAAGCTCCCTGGTAATGACATGAGAGAACAGTGAAGGATGGTCCCAAATCTTGGGACCCTGCACCTGCGTGGAGAGCTGTAAGAAGCTCCTGGATCCTGGCTTTAGATTGGCTCAGCTCCAGCCATTGCAGCCACTTGGGGAGTGAGCCAGCAGATGGAAGATCTTTCTTTCTATCTCTTCTGTCATTCTAAAATATATAATTTTTTTTAAAGGTGAAAGGTAAGGGTCTTGCCTCTTACTTCTGCAAGTGAATATCCAATTTTCCCAGCAGCATTTGTTGAAGAGACTGTCTTTGCTCCATGGAATGTTTTCAGTTCTCTTGTCAAAGACTTATTGGTGAGATGCATGGGCTCAATTCTGAGGATTCTGTTCTGTTCCATTGATCTTCTCTGGGTTTTTTGTTGTTGTTGTTGTTTGTTTGTTTTGTTTTGTTTTTGTTTTTTCACCAGAATCAGATTACTTTGATCACAACTGCCTGTAATATGTTTTGAAATCTGGAATTGTGATTCCTCCAGCCTTGTTTTTATTGTTTAAAATGGCTATGGCTATTCAGAGTCTCTTGTGTTTCCACATGAATTTTTTCATCATCTTTTCTAGATTTCATGTATTTCATGTAGAAATATAGATTTCATGTACTCACAGATGAAGTCTAAGGAGATAACCATACACATTGTCAAAAAGACACAGAAATGTCTGAAATTTACTGTGAAAATAAAAAAATAAAAAGAATTATTAAATAAATGTAAGGATGATTGAAAACAGATGTGATAGTTAACAGTTATAAGATGCTGTTATTAGAAGCTGGGTGATGAGTATGTATAAGTTCAATACAAAAACTGCTTCAGTGTTTCTGAATGCTTGAAAAATTCACAATAAAATGTTGGAAACCAGTTTACATTTTCAGAGCTAAAGATGCCTATTTGTATGTGAATTTTATTACCTATGGGCTATCAGTTATTGGAGAACACATTAAAGCAGATTTTAGGCTACATTTTACAGGACACAGCAGTGATTCCCAAAAACTTCCATCACAAAGTCTCCTTTCTTGTAGATACAATGAAAGGCTGATTTTTTGCTAGTTGCTTAGTTAACTAGTAATTCAACACAAATGAGAATAGAATGGCTTCAAATTTTAAATGGCTACACAAGTTCCCACATAGAGAAAATAGTAGATTGAGGCTTAGGTGCCTTTATCTTTAATCTTTTCCTAAATGCCACTGATGCTTAAAATTCCAACTTGTTTCTCAGCTTCAACATCTCTTTCTTTGCTCTTGTCCTTTCAGGATTTCCTTCATATAGAAATGCTAACTGGGGAACACATTCTCAATGCTTCCTGGAAATTCTACCCAATTCAAGTTTAATTTATAGTTTTACCTTTCCCAAAAGATTGTATAAATGCAATAATGCATTATTCGATCTCTTTTGTCTAAGTTCTTTCAGTTAGTATTATGCTTTTGCGATTCACTCATGTTTTTGCAAGCTAACAGTTTCCCTTACAAATGGCATGTATTCCATTGTGTGAATACTTGATAAACTTGTGGATCTATCCACAAATGATGGACGTTGAGTTGCTTCCAGTTTGGGCTGCTGTGAATGCAGCTGTTATAAATATTTATATACAAGTCTTGGTGGACTTATGTTTTGATCTCTCATAAGTGATTTCACAGCAGTGAGATTTCTGAGCCTTATAGTAAATACATATATAACTCGGCAAAATATTTTCACTAAATATATTTCTTAAAATGTATTTATCTTAATGAACATTTCAACTTACATGCCTGAGAAATTTTCAACTTTAAATATTTGAGGGTCAATACATTAATTTTTCTATATCCCCATCTGTAGTATTATGACAATATATCATTTATACTGATGTTAATATAATTGATAACACTAAGACAGAAGTGAGATATCATAGCTAAGTAATTTAACAAATGAATGTTCAGTGGCAAAATCCTTACCTTGCAAGCACCAGGACCCCATATGGACATCAGTACATGTTCCTGCTTGTGGCCTGAGAAAGCACTAGAAGATGGTCCAAAGCCTGGGTCCCTGTACCTGCATGGGAGATCCAGAAGAACCTCCTGGCATCAGTTTGGCTCCGGTCTAGCCACTTAGGGAGTGAACCAGAAGACAGAAGACATTTCTCTCTGTCTCTCATTCTCTGTGTAAATATGCCTTTCCAATAACAATAAATAAATCTTTTAAAAATTAATGCTCCGTGCATGAATAACATAATACAAAAAAATTACATGCACATTATACATCTTTAACTCTCTATTGCCATCTGGTGGTAACATATAAACATTTTAACATGAACTCCATTTAAACAGCTACTACCCATTTGAGGTTGAAATCTCACAAACTATTCCCCAAGGTTGTTGACCAGAGGTTTTTTAAAGCGCTATGTATTTTTAAAGCCTCTGCTAATAATTGATCTATCCTATACCTCAAAAAAGGAATAGTGCTTCTCATGGACTTTCTTGCCCAGACAGTGGAGAGCAATGACTCTCTCTGGGACTTTTCAGGGTGTTTATTTTTTGTGTGTCTTGTTTAAGAAGCATAGGGCTGTCCACAGTGTCAACTGACTTGGTGTATCACGTTAGCCCAACACGTGTTTTGCATTTTATGGTTATTGCAGACAAGTGTTTTAAAAGAGTCAGACCCATTTGTGGTTAAGGAATAGATTTTGATACAGAAATGTGATTTCAAAAACTAAATTATCTAGAAGAGACTAGCATAAAATGGAGTGTGACTGTGATTCTGTAAAGTGTGGTTTTGAAGTCAATCATAGTGAATATGTGATATAATCCAAGATTTATCCATTTTTCCTTAAACATGCTTATCATTCTGACCCCTCATGTAGGTCAGACCTTTCTAGATGAGTAACTGCAAACCTGTCGGACCTGAAGCAAATAGCTAACAGCCTGGCTTCAGGGGCGTGTTTCATCTGCAAAGTCCAGGCAGAGATGACCTCAGAATTCCACAGGTCACGTCCAGCCTCATGCTGACCAGGCAGATTCCCAGGAAACAAAGGTCTGCTACTCCCTCTGCTGGACTGTCCTGTTGCAATGCAGAAAAACCAGTATGCCTGCTGGCTTCAAGGTGTGATGTCAAGTCCTGTCTGAGGATCTTAAGGAATCTCAGCAAGTTAAAGTCTGCAGGATGAGTTAGAGTGGTCTGGAGCATCAGTATGTCTTAGACCATCAAGAACTTTGTGTCAACCAGCGGCCACTGCTCAACTTTTACAACTCCCTGAACCCAGCAGCCTCAGCCTTTCTTCAAAGGGTAAAATCCATTGCTACCCTCACTCTGATAACATTAGTTATGGCTCAGTCTTGATTTCTAGACTTCAAGGCAAATGAGAATAGCAGGGATGCCCATCTATTTGTGACAGATACTGACAAAATTTCCTCCATAGAGGTCATATTATCAGTATTACTCATTTATCTTGATCCCTGTATATGTGGATATGTATGTATCAAGATTTTTAAGTTGTGTTAAACTGAGAATCAAATAAAACACATGGACCATATTTTAAACTTTTTCTTCTTTCTGCACAGAATTCAGAGGGTGGTTTGGTTTATGATTTTTCAACCTTATGGTTACGTGAAAATGGCACCTGCAGTGGTAGAAATGATATATTGAATAATGGATGTTGATCTTTCCCTATACTAATTCTGTGCAGCACATACTCTGTCATGATGTTGGAAAGCAACAGCAAGCCATCGCTCTCAGCCAGCCATGCAGTCATGAAGGAGAAACCAGCAGTACTTCACGGTGTTCTGTGCTCTGTAGGTTATATGTGTTAAGTACATTTTAAACTTAGAATAATTTCGACTTATGATGAGTTTCTTAGGACATAAGTCAAGGAGCATCAGTGCTGGGGGACAGTACAGATTAGTTGGGGTGTCAATAGTCAGACTACCTGAGTTTGAATCCATGACAAGCTCATGAAGTTTGAAAAGGCCTCTTAATCTCCTCATGTCCCAGTTTCCTCATCTGTAAAACAGAGATGAAAAGGAGTCATTTCAATGAAAGGTTATTGTGAGTTGCCAAGAACAGGTCCTGGCACATAGGAACTGCTTATTACCAATTACATATCATTAGTAAAATTCAACAACTTTTATTTGTTTAAGGATCTCCATCTAATTCTCCTTTCTGTTCATTTCTTTAAGTTCACTTTACCTGTTTTCTTCTTAGGCTATTGGCATCACAGTTATTTTTCAGGAACTAACTTCCTATGTTATAAGTTGCAAACACATTTTCCAAGCTTATAATTGGTTTGACTTTCTGGGTTTATTTTACATCTTCTGGTTTTGAATTACAGTTTTAAAATCCCACCCAATTCTAATATAATAAGAAAAATCCTTCACTTTTTAGTCAGATGAATGACAACACATTGCATTCTGTCATTTTGCCCCCTTTTCTTTCCATGTCTTCATCTATGCTGCATTATGTCATTTCTGCATTATGTCATTCTATAGCTTCCACTAATTCTCTAGCTGTAAAAGTCTATTAATCCCTCTTGCACATTCATAACCTGATGAGCCATATTTTTTTCATTTCTAGGATTTATCTTTGCTTCTTTTCCAATTTTCTGGTTCTTTTCCTTCAGTATCTTTCTCTTGTCCTGTGGATTTTCATTCTCTTCTTTTTCCATGAGCTTACATAATTTAAAAAAGTTTTCCATTGGTTCTAACTGTAGTTGTGTGTGTGTGTTCTCTCACCCCCAAGGCAGTTTGTCACCTTATATGACTTGTGATTTTTGTGTTCAAATTAAAGCTCAGCTTCAAAGAGGACTAAGGCACTTGGATCCTGGAATCTAAGGATTTATGTGGCAATTTCAACTCTTCTGCTGTGATCCTGCAGATTTCATAATCTGTCATAAGCACGGATTTTCATTCATGAAGTGAGTAATTAAAAAGTCCCCAATAATGAGCTGTTCCCCACTTAACTCTTTCTATTCACACTCCGGTAAAACAATCAAGATGCTCCTAATGGTGTAGCTGGGCTGTCAACAGAGGAATTGCGTCTTTCCAGTGATCTCAGCCTTGGTTACATGGTTTGTGTCCAACCCCTGTTACATAAAAGCCTTTTTTCTTGCCAACCAATCCTCCTCCACCACTGAATTCTCTTCACATGTGCATTTACCAGGTTCTGATACACCTAAAGGGTCTCAACTTCAGCTCCCTAACTGTTCTTGGGTTTTGTGATCACCCTTCATCTCTGGTACCTAGGGACTTGACTTTCTTGCTTTTCAATAGGCTCCTATGCTAAGCAAAAAAAAAAAAAATTGTCCAGAATTACCTTACCTGATTTTGTGGGAGGGAATTATGCATTTTGATTCAAATCACTATATTGTTCACAGGTTCCAGAAAGATTTTTCTAAGATGCAAAACTTTATTGTATTAGTCTACTAGCTAAAGCTTTTCAATGCTGTTTCTTGACCTTAAGATAAGATACAAATACATGGTAGACCAGGAGAGCCTAGAAAACAGCCTCTCAAGTTTGAATGGTTTCAGTTTTTGTTCACTGTGACCTCTGCACCAAGTGACTTTCTCACAAGTTAGTAATGTCTTTTCCAGTTTCATTTATAAAATAGAAATAACTGTAGCACCAAATTCAGAGTTGCTGTAAATCTCAAATAAGCCAGTTGTCACTGTAAAAAATGAGGTGGAGTACCACTGAAATTCATCTCAGATATGGGGACCGATGACACCAAAGATGACTGAGGGCTATAAAAAAGATTTATTATTCATATTATGGACCTTTCTGAGGAGAAGAACATAAGATCTCTCAAGTAACTCCAAAAATGGAATTAGGAGATGTGGCTTAATGGTAACCTAGAGGTGAGATTAGCATGAGAGTTCAGACTTTCAATTACAGACACAGAACACAGGGGCTGCTATGTACCATACCATAGACACTGAATAAATGACGATTAACATAATTATACTGCTACCACACTTTATAAGACTCTTCATGGCATTGGCAATGACTTTTTACTCTATCATGTTTTAATTTTCTTAGATTTTTAAAAAATAATAATAAATTCATTTTAGTTTTGATGATGTTTACATAGTTGAGAGGGATGCCTGCCCATGAACTACCAGTTACGATGGAGAGGGTAGAAGGATGGGGGAAAGTGGATGAAGCAACTGCCTCCAATCTCCTTTTTTCTTACTATATCCTCAGAAAGTGAGGAGAAAAGGGGAAAGAGCCACTTTCAGCAGCCCAACAGCTTCAGTACCCAGGAATGGAAGACGGCCACCCGAACTCATCCCACAATCCCCGGTGCAGAGCATGTTCTGAGGATACGACTTAAGTGGTTTTGATAGTTCTGAGATGCTGTTGATTTCACTGCTCCAAGGTTGAGAAAATCCTTCCAAGGTCCATTGGCTGACATAGTCTACCTTAGAGTCTTGACTTGCCCAGATACTCACTGTCAAAACTTGACCAGGAGAGCTGTCCGACATGATCCCCACTCCATGGTACTAGATGTCCTCTGCAGGCCTCAGTGAACTGTGGCATATCCCCCATGAGCAACTGGGCCTACTGTCCATCACACAGCTCTCAGCAACCAAGGAGACCCAGTTCTGACACATGCACTCCACGGTCAGACCATAGTTGCTGCAATTTTCAGCATGGTTGGAATTCTGAGTCCAGTGACCCAGTTGGAGGTGGGGGAGGATTGGCCAAAGAAACCTCACCAGAGGTGACCCCAGAACTGACCCCTGTGTGTGCCAGATAGTGTGGAGTCTGGCTCAGTCCATCACCCACATCAGCATAAAAACACACTGGTGGTAGCAGTTACCTGGTCTGTTCTGTTCCCAGCCTGACTCCATCTCATACAGAAACCAATGGATACAGCATCCCAGCTTAACCCTGCCCACCACACACTCAGCCCTCACACAAGCCAGTGAAAACTGCAGCCTTGTCAGAGTGACCCCCAATAACTCCCACCAGGCCCATCCCATCCCCAGTTCCTGCCCATGCTGGTATGTGCAGTAGAGTGGTCCAGTCTGTCCTGCATCCCATTCAGCTCTTATACACATCAGTGGATGCTTGATACTAGTTCAGCCCAACTGACCCCACTGTTCAGCCCATGCTCATGCCAGCAGTTGATATCACCCATCTAGTCAGGCCTGACCCTCACCCTGGTTCTCATACTCACCAGTGGAGCTGCAGCCCATCAGATAGGGTTCCCACAATTTACCTACTAGATCCACTCACAGAGCTGGATCTGTCACTTTCTCGGTGGTTTTATGGTCTAGCCTGACGGGACTTGCCCCATCCAAGCACCTGTTAGCCAATACTTCAGCAAAACCCAACCAGCTTGCACTTACTCTGACTAATGGATGTGGTCACTTAGTCCAGTCTGGCTCTCCCCCAATCCAGCTCACATATAGGCCTATAGGTTTGTAGCCCTGCCCAGCCTGGTTTGTCCCCAGCCCGAGCTTTCATGCTCACCAGCAGGAGCAGTGGCCAGTAGAGGAACCTCCACAACCTCCCCTACTGATCTCACCCCTCATCCTGGGTCTTACATGTGCTGGTAGGAGCTTTCGCCCAGAATGGTATGACTCTCCTTACTTCAGCATTCAGCAGAGGGTGCTGTAGCTTGGCTCAGTTTCGTCTATACCCAGTTCCAGCTTATGCTTTCAGGAGCTGCTGCCTAGCCTGGTCCAACCAGGCCCCAGTTCCAGCCCTAATGTGAACTGGCTGGTGGTGTTGGGCCCAATCAGGTCTGTCCTGCATTCTGTTCTGGCTCTCACACCTTCCAGTGTGTGTTATGAATTGGCTGAGCTTGGCCCACTCCCAGATGTGACCCATACATATATCAGCAGGTACTGTAAACTGGCTTATTCTGGGCTTCTCCCAGCCTTGGTTCTTGTACTCACCTGTATCTTGACAGAGGAGTTCCCCAAGTTCTTCTTTCAGGTCTCTTCCCAGAGGCAGATCTCATGCACACAGGTGGGTTCTTGGCCCAACCTGATTTGGCCCACCTCCTATCCTGGCAGGTACAGTAACCTTGCCCAACCAGTCAACACCCATTACAGTTCTTATTGTTGGATGATACAGCCCAGCTATGCCTGGGCTACCCCCAATACCCAGCTCTCACATGGTTCAGGAGGTGCTGGAGCCTAGCCCTCTGGCACACCCGAAACCCAGTTCAAACACATGCTGAGGGACACTGCAGCTATATCCAACCCAGATTGCCACCTCCTATTCCAGCTCTCGCCTCGTTACTGGGAACCGTATCCCAGCAGGGATATCTCCTTAGCTCCTCAACAAGGTTCACTCCCAGCCACAGATCTTGCATGTATCGGTGGTTGCTCCAACCCAGACTGGCATAACCCATCCCCAGGTTGGCCTTTGCCATCATATGCTCCAGCCTAGCCTAGCCTGGCATGACCCATACCCTAGCCTGGCTCCCATGCGTGCCAGTGTGCTATGGTTTAGCCTAGTCCACTCCCCCAGAGCCAGCCCACACATATGCCAACAAGTGAAGCAGTTTTGCCTGGCCTGACCAACACCTGTTCTTGATTCATGTGCTCACCAGCAGGAGTGATGGTCCAGCAGGGGAATTCTCCCAGTTCCCCCACCAGGCCTACCCCAGATCCATATCTTACACATGTCAATGGGTGCTAGGCTCTTACTCGGCAGTATGACTCCCAGTGTTGCCTTTTGTGTGTGTGCTTGTGGATGTTGCAGCCTGGCCCATCCCACACCCTGTTCTTGGATGCACCTGTGGGTGCTACAGCCTGGTATGGTAGTCCCACAGGGGTGAGCCCATAATCCCCTATAGAATCTGCTCCCAGATCCAATTCTCTTGTGAGTTAGGTAGCGTCATGACCCAGCCTACCATAGTCCACACTCTACCTTGGCACTCACTAATGGGTACTGTGATTGAGCCCTGCCAAGCAGCCCCCCCCCCCATCCATGGCTTTTGTGTGCGCTGGTAGGTGGTAGTTGATATGAACAATCTTACCTCAGGTCTT